TTTTTTTTACTACTAACTTTTTACTGATAATTTTTTTTTTTCCCCACTCTTTTACTATGGTTGATATTAAGCTCCCAAATTTGAACCCAGCCCTTCTAACTGGGGTCTGGACACAGGGCAGAGCCTGGCAAGAGAGTTACATTTACATTATGTAAAATATGTATCAGTAAAAATGTGTCTGTAAAAAAGTGTGTGTGTCAGTAAAAAGCATGCAGATTGTCCATAAAAAGGTGTTCTTAGATTGACAACTTTGCTTTAAAGTCTGCTGCAAGTGTTCACCAGTCAATCCTGACCACATTTTGGACTTGATTAACTTCATTTTTTAAATCAATCTACAGTAAGCTGTTCAAAAACTATCATCACATCCACATCAGAACTCTTTGTCTGCAAATATGTTGAGGCCAGGAGAATTAATTAAATGATAAGCAGTAGAGATGCACTGATATATTGGTCCATATTGTATCAGCACCAATAAAATGAAAATTGACATATCGGCAATCAGCTTTTTTTGGCTGATAATATTACTGATAAATGTCCCATGCATGCGTGCAGTCACAGCATGCGGACAGCAAGGAATGCAGACCAGCAACGTGGAGAGCAGCATCCACCCAGTAAGTCTGTTGAGGGGGAAGGCGTGTGGGGAGGGCACATCAAGGCCCCCATGGTGAGGGAGGGAGTGGGGCTAGGGCAAGGGCAGATGCTGTCCAGCCAAGGGCAGGGCTAGGAGGGGAGGGAGAAGGAGCCGCGGGCAGCTCGTCTAGGTAGTAGGGGGTGCAGCTTCTGCCACTGCACGCCTCCCACCCCCCCGGGGAAGCATAGGAGGCACATGCCCCCCACCTCGATTTGCTGGGGGGTTGGGTGGGCAGTGGCAGCGCTGGGAGGATCTGTATGTGGGCTGTCCACTGTGGGCATGGGCTTCTGCCCTGCTGCCCTCCCCTGGGGCCTCTGCAGCCCAGCAGGCGGTGCTGCAGCAAACAGCAGGGCCACACGGGAATCTCCTTGCTGCTGCGAGCTCTGTGTTGTTCTGGAGACCCATCCCCTGCCTGTGCAGTAACAATGAGGGGCAAAGCCCTGCGCCACTGCCTCTGCTGCTGCAGCAGCATGTGCAGGGGACGCATTACCATGGAACTTGCAGCAGCAAGGAAATCCCTGCGTCGCTGCACTGTTCCCTACAGCACTGGGTCACAACCACCAGGTTGCAGAGGCCCCAGGGGCGGGCAGCAGGGCAGAAGCCTGAGCCCACAGTGGGCATCCTGCGCCCACCCCTGTCCCATGCACAGTTCTGAGGGGCAAGGGTCTCTCCTGCCCACCCCCCCAGGAGTGCATGCAGAATTGAGGGGTGTGGGGGGGGGCGGTGTGCCACCTGAGCCCACAGCAGGCAGGCAGCAAGGGGTGGGGGGGGGTGGGAGGGGGAAAACAGAGCTGGACTCTGTTCTGCTGCAGCAGCCACCGCCTCTTACTCGGGGCAACTGAACTACCTCACCCTACGTGAGCTACACAGTATCTTCATATCCTACTTCAACATCAGCAAGGAAATGTTGAAATTGACAATAGATCAAGCCATGGCCCTAAATGAAATTCAGCCCCAAGCTAACCATGACAGATTCCCACAGTAATACCTTGCTGTACAACAACTGTTAGTATCTAATGCAGTGACGTTGCACAGGAGGATCACCATGCAATTTTTGCATGTCATTGTTGATGTATTCTATTAATTACACCAATGTGGCATCCTGTGGTTTCATGCATCATCTGTTGTGTACGTTTCGGTTTCTCCTAGCTCAGCTGATGCATGTCAACTGCTTCACACATTTAGAGAAATAAGCCATCTCCTCTGGCTGTTCTGCTGAAACGCTGAAGAGCTCTAAGCCCCTCAGTAACCACAGAACCTATTCCTCACACAAATAGAAGCAGTTGGACATGTCACTGTTCTCACCAAGTGCCAATGACAAGTATTCAAACATTATGGCCACCTCTTTCAGTGTGGAAAGCAAATCTAACTCCATATCTTCAATTTATCTACTGAAAATATGAAGAGAAAGATTTAAACCATTTATCAAGTTTTACTTTTCAGGACATACATACCTCCTTAATTATTTTCATTATACATTTTTTTCCTAAGAGTTGTCTGTCTATCAAAGATCTGCCATCAGCAATCAATTTTGCCAGACAACTAGATCAAACACCCGCTAGGTTTTGCTCGATGTGTCTTTTAAAAATATTCAGCTGATAAAACAAAGTGTTTCTGAGAGCTTCTATTCTGTCACTGCTAAATTGACCAAGCGGTCATACTTTTCTTTATGATGTATATCAAAATGATACCTGATACTGTATATTCTTTGAATGCTAAAAGTGTTTTGGCAAATAAGACATTGCCTTGCCTTTGCATTGCACAAAAGATTAATCATGTGCCCACTGATCATCAAATACTCAACACCCACTATCAACTTTCCTTTTTTTCAGCAGCAGGTGGTTTCTTCACAGAAGCACATATGCAGGGACTGCAAACTGCCTGGCTGACACTGGAACCAAACTGATTGTAGATGCAGCTCTCCAGGAGCATTTTAGTCACTCATCCCAGCTCCTTGCAGTTTCTGAATAGTGGGAAGGAGACAAGGAGCACCCACCAGAATGATGCCCTTTCTCCCCCTCCTCCCTGTAAACTCTAGGGAGAAACATTCCTAGGCCCTGCACACCTATGGGAAGATGGAGACAGGCAGCCCCTACTCACATACTGCACTGCAGAATTGCACATACTGCACTGCATTACACCCCTCTTGACCCACCCCCGCACACCGTTCCCACCTGCAGAGTACTGCCACCCACTGCAATTAAACAAGTACAACATTTTGTGACTTATTAGCCAGCTGCTCCATGAGTCTGTAGTTGAGCAAGTACATGCTGGCTGGTGCCTCTGTCCCAGTTCCTGCTAAAGCAGCTCCTCAAGACTGCTGGGTCCCAGAGCTTGGCAGATTTAGTTAAAATCTTCATGGGCCAGATGCTGCCTGTGGCCTATAGGCTGCCTACTCCTGATATACACCATTCTAAGTGAGCAACAAGTTACATTACAGGTAGCAGATAACTTGGATAACCTGGGATGTCTCATCTTTAAATGGAGCGAAGTGAACAGCATCTTATGGTTATAAAATCTAATATAAAAGAAAGATGAATCACTAGATTCTGAAGCTAAAAATGACCTTCTACATAAAGCTAAGATACCAAGTGATTTAAAAACAGCTGTGTATTATTGTCAGACCATATTAATAACTCAGGTCACTGGGGTTCTTTCAAGTTGGGGAAAGGAAGAAGTAAAGTATAAACAACTACACAAATCTAGCAAGAGACTAGAGACAGGATCTCAATTAGTTCTTGATAATCTGTAATTCTGCTACCAAATGAAACAAAAGAAGTCAAATAAGTCAGACTGACCTACAGGCTTTTAAACAGGGGTGCAGACAGTCACATCAGCATAAGCCAAGTAGAATGGTACAAAAAACAACTGCAGGTTTTGGTCAGATGACTTTCAAGAATGCAACACAATGTCAGCCACATACTCAAAACCACCAAGTTGCCAAGGAGTCAGATAGTAGGGGTATGCAAAACGGGCTGTATTCGATTAATTTATTTGGATCACTGTCCCCAATTTGATTCGGACGAATTTGAAGATTCGATGCTGATTCGGAGAATCAGCGACTCGGTCAGTCACAGATACAGATTTAAATGTTTCTTCTACATATCTCGAGGTACCAGGCATGGCTCATGAATGCTGCAATGATGGGGTGGATAGAGTCCCACAGGAGCACGAGGGGTCCCTGCGTGCTTGGCGGCAAACCTGGAAGTGGACTAATTTGATTCGGACGAATTTGAAGATTCGATGCTGATTCGGAGAATCAGCGACTCGGTCAGTCACAGATACAGATTTAAATGTTTCTTCTACATATCTCGAGGTACCAGGCATGGCTCATGAATGCTGCAATGATGGGGTGGATAGAGTCCCACAGGAGCACGAGGGGTCCCTGCGTGCTTGGCGGCAAACCTGGAAGTGGACTGGAAGTACTTCTGGTCCACTTCCGGGTCCACCGGGGAGTCCCCCCCGGCCCCTCCCCCGGCTCGGCAATCGGCTGTGGGGAGACCCCAGGTGCCCCACCAGACCCAGGAGGCACCAGTCACTGAGCTGGGAGGGACACAGGGAAGCCCACCAGCGTGGTCCCCAGCGGACCTGGAAGTGGGCCGGAAGTATTTCTGGTCCACTTCCATGTCTGCTGCCAAGCTCACTGGGGAGCCCCCCACGCTCCTATGGGATGCTTCATCCCCACCACCATCACAGCATTCACGAGCCACCTGGTATGTTAAGGTATGCAGAAAAGACATCGCCAAATCTTTCCGAATCAATTCGGAGGGTTCCGATTTGATTCAGAGAGATTAAAGGGTCTCCTGATTCAATTCAGATTTGGAGATTCAGCCACTGAATTGGGCCAAATCAAATCAGGGACCAAAGCTTTGCACAGCCCTATCAGATACTAATCTGTCTGTATCAGACGTGGGAGGCAGAGCTGATAACAGTTTGAAATGGGAGCCCTTAGAAGTTCATTTCTTAGTGGAAATTTGCCTTTTACTGCCAGTTGGCTATCCAAAGGTCATTCACTGTCTAAGCTTAATGCTCCTGCATTGTTTGCTTTCACTGGGATCTCAGGGTTCTCTCATGCATCAGAGGTGGCAAGCATATTAAGATGCTTCTTTCTGCAGAACTGAGAGGTCTTATATTCTATTATGCCACAGGAAGTTTTTCTAGCATGGCGCCTACACATTCTCTAGCAGAAGACCAGAGATCCTTTCTGAGAGCAGGTGAAGGTCTGACTATAAAAGTCAAGTGCTACTGTGCAGAAACACAAATCTGTCCCTTGTCCTTTGGGAAAGCTACTTGGATCCGCAGTATAGTAGATTGCTGCCTCAAAGAGATAAAGAACAAACACAATTGTCAAAGGAGTGAGACTATTTACCTTGGTCTGTGCGCTTGATAAATGAATTATGACTCTCCAAGGGTTGTCCCAGCTTTTTCCAAGGAATATTATCTTTTTTCTTCAGGACAATCTCCACCTTTCCCACTTTTTCAGCAACATGTACTTAGAAGAACAGAGGGAGAAAAAGAGTTCCATATTTTTAGTTGTAATGATTTTTTTCACAAAAGGTATTGGTTTAATTTAATTTTCATTATAATAAATTTCAACAAGAATTAGTATCTAATAATTTCTCAAAACATATAGAATTGCGTTAAATCTGTGGTTCCAAAACTTGCAGATCAAATCCTGCAAAATATCTTGAGGACCTCAATGAAGCCTTGTCAACAAACTTTTTATTGAAAGTTTTTATTTACTTTGGCCACCAACTAGTTCGGGATCACTGTTTTCAAGTAAAATATCATATTTAAAATGTACTTCATGGGCAACCTTAACACATATTGAAAATACACTAAAAAACATAGGAGTAATTTATTATGCATAAATAAAGAAGGCATCACAGTATATTTAGGAACTATGGTCAAGAAGTTAATACTCATGAAATCAAAACGATCAATTGTTCATCACTGATGCAATGTCCCACTGTTTGCATAAATATGGAAAAGTGACAGTCTCCATTGTAGGCCTAAAACATCCTAAAAAAACTAATTAATCCAATCTAATGCATTTAGGGGACCAAAACACTATCAATATTCTATATTAAGTATTTCTCAGGCATCAAGATGGATTTATCTTAAACTGTGAGCTTTTTCAACAATCAGAATTAATGCTGAACTTCTAAGAGATGTCTAGGTGTAACTGCCTTCCTAAAAAAGGAAGTTTAAAAAACAGAAACCCTAACACACACACTGTGTTCACTGTCTTCCTACTTTATTAGGAGATGCTTATGATTTTATAGTCATTCCTATTCATATATTATATACTGTATTATAAATATGGAAGCTTGCTCACAACACATTTTTTCCTTAACAATTATATACATTTGTTTTTAATTACTCATTTTTTGAAACAAATACTTAATGTTAGTACAAACATTAATCCCAAGCAAAATTCCTGAAAAGCAACATATACATTCTTTGGGGCTTCTAATAGAAAACTGTAAGTCTGACGGTTCAAAAGATGTTTAAAGAAAGCTATCAACTTTTTTGCTAAACAAATATTTATTAATCAAACTGGGAATAAAGTATAGTAAACTGTTTTCACATTCAAGTTTTAGGGAAGGAATAAGCAAGGTTTTCCAGCAGCAGGCTGAATGACATGGCTCAAGTCCAAGGAATTCTAGCAATAAGACCAGGGCACCACTGCCATTTCTTCCTGCTGCTGGTCACAATGCAGCATAGGTGAAGCCCCCGACCCAAGCCCCTCTCCAGCTTGGTAGGCTAGATCCAATGGTTAGGTTCCCTAGGTTAGGGAACAGGGAGAAAAAAAACAACTACAAACAAAAGAAAATAAGCAAATACATAAACAGCTTACCAGCAATATCTTCCTGAACAGCATTACTTAGCTCTAAAATAAATAAAAGAACAAGCTTTTTTATATAGCCTAAAGCCAGAGTGGAGAATTAGATCATCTAATACAAACTTCCTATACAAATCATAACCTGAAATGTCACTCAATAATTCTTGTGCCGAGTCCAATAATTTGACTGGCTAAAACATAACTTCCAGAAGTAGTATCTAGTCTGGGTTTTAAGACAGCAGGAGATGGAAAATCTACTATTTCCTTTGAGAGTTTGTTGCAATGGTTAATTCTTTCTGTTTAAAGATCTTTATTTCAATGTATCTGGTTTGAATTTTCAGTCAACAAAACATTTCATACCAGTATCTTCTCTGCAGTAAAGAGTAGTAAAAAGAGTCACCTTACAAACGTCTTTCCCATAAGTTAAAAGATTGTAATCAAGTCTCACCCAGAGACTTAATTGCCTTCTTCAGCTTTTGAAATATTTTTGTTGCTTTTTTTCTGAATCATTTTAAGCTTAACATCCTCCTTAAGAATGCTGACACTACAACAATAAGCAATATTGCAATAACAGGTCTCATCAACAGTGATACGATAAAAATCAACTCCCTATTTCTACTACTTTCCTGTTTATACATCCGAGGATTGCTACACTCCTCACAAAAGCATCACACAAAACTGAATGTTTGCCTAGTATGACCTTTATATTCTACTCAGAATCACTGCATTCTAATATACAGTCCCCACACCACTAGGGTCTAAACTCCTGTCTTGCACTTACTTGTATTAACACATTTTTTTGAATGTGTCCAGACTGTTCTATAAAACTACATTGACAGATTTAGGACAGGCTAATTGATTTATAGCTAACTTTTCTGAACACTGACACAACACTTTTATAGTTATCAGCACCATGCACTTAATTGTAAATGTAACTTTAAAAAAAAGTACTTCCAGTTTGTTGTTATAGCCCATTTCTTGTGTCTTAAGAACAATACATATAAGTATTAATGAAAAAAATAAACCTATAAATTCAGATCTTTAGAGTAATAAATCAACTATTTATGCAAAAGATCTCTCTATAAATAGGAACATTTATTAGGAGGGTTTTTTTTTAAATGTTGGCAGAATTCAAATATGTTCCCCTACTGAAAAACTAAAACACGTACCAATATTTAAGAGATATGAATAGTCCCTTATAATGATCTCTCCTCTCAATCTAGAATCTTCATAGTCAAGTATCACCATTTCTGAATTCATGCCCTTGTTCAAAAAAAAAAAAAAAGGAAATTCAGACCACATGAAATTTTTATTTTTAAATGTTAATTTGAAATGTAATGTCAGAAATAATATTCACAGTTGGATAGTGTTTTCTTATTTGACAAAATTCATTTACCTTTTGTTTAGTATATACAACAACTGTGACAGAACAATCTGTTTGGAACCAATCATAGCTGTGAAATATTTAGAAAAAAAGGAAAGGAGTTACAAATCTTACTGAGCACACAAATAATATATTTAAATTGAAGCTTCTGAGCAGAACTTTCTGTGTGAAATTAGAAATCAAATAAATGTACATTTGGAGACTGTTTATGCAATTTGCTGATTATCTTTTACTGGACTAACTATATCATTGAGCATTAAGTGCCCTTTCTTAGGCCTGAGTCAGGTCATGAAGGGTACTTTGGGCCCATAAGCTGATCTAATACTTCTCCCAATGAGAAAACAGGGTCAAGAATATCTCTCCCAAGGTCAAGAACCCTCTTCCCCTTCCCCAGACCCCCTACCCCCCCCTCCGCAAAGTAGCAGCACGGCTACGTATGTGGTGTGTGGTGTTGCAGACAGGTCTGCAGCACCACATACCACATGTCCGCACTCATCCGGATACACCCAGTGGCTCCAATGTAAGATTTCACAAAAAAACCCTTACTTTTAAAATATTTTCTGGACCATCATGACTAACATTATTTCAGCTCTGCATTTTCCAAACATCCCTACTGAGCTCATTCCTCATCCCACTTAGCAGTCACTCTTATCCATGATACATTTCATAACAGCTTGCACAAATGAAGAAGCAGACTTGGAAGAGCAAGATGGGAGAAAAAGTCATTAGGAGATAGAAACAGACTAACTGGCACACAGCACAGCACAATACTTGTGCAGTCCTTCAACAAATTTTATAAACATTAAATCAATATAATCAGAGCTGCACTGGCCACTTCCCACTCTATGCAAGCCCTGTCTGGAGTCAATTTTCTCGGATGTAGCAGAACCACAAAATTTTCTGCTGAGCAGAGACCCTCTTGAGTTACCAGCAATGATATACTCAAAGATTACACTTACCTAGTAGCCTTTTTCAAAAAATGTATTTAAGCAAAATAATTCCAGGCTTTAATACAAGAGATAGTGGGTACTACTTTATGTATTAACTACATAAACTAAATCATCAATACTTATTGCAATATGGAAAAACAAATGGCAGGAATCACGAATCAGAGGGAGTACAGTCCAGAGAAACTACAATATTACAAACCAGGAATGAATAGATCTTATTCTCCCTGCACTTCTACACAACCTGATGTTTCCGTAACTTTCCCAAGGCAAAATTTCCTTATCTGTAAGAAAAGGATAATGATATATGTTCCCCATATAAACATTTGTTGTGCACTCTGTACGAAAAAAATTCTCTACGTTTGCTAAAAGCAACATATGCTATTTAACAAGAATACAACATGGAGAAGTAATATAGCTAAATACCTTGGAGCGAAACTTTTAGAAGTACCCACTATTTTACTTTCAGGAAGCATGCCTAAAAAAGAGAAACAAATAAGAGCTATTTAAAACATTTGCATTGACAGTCACCCACCCAAAGTGAAAATATCTATTTCTAATATTAAATCCAGAGAATTTTGTTAATTACTTCACACTATAGCTGTGTTTCCTGAATACTTGGTGTTTGTGTTGTCATTAATAATTATAAGGATTCACAGGCTTCTTACCAACTGCCCCTCAGAGAATGGACTTTCATGTAATCATGACACTAACCTCCACTTCAGACATTTTTTTCTCATAAAATCCAAACACCACAGACAACTGGCATATAACCATGCTAAATGTACTGTAATTGTTCTCCTCTCCATTTGCTATGAGTTTGTTTTATGTGCAATGTGCACTGGGAAGTCAGAGGTAGATAACTGTACCGGTAGGGATTAGCATATTCTTAACAGCTAGTATTATATCGAACTCTCAAAATTTTACAATGTTAGTCCCACCTAATTAAACTAACAAGACAGTTCATTTAGAGAATCACTCTAGATGTGTGTATGTGAGTATTCATGCCATATACTACTTTAGATTTACCATTATTCAACCAAGCAAGGATTTTTTCGATCCTTGTAAAACCTACTTTATGCTCAGTGCCTCACTAGAGATTCACAACATTAAGCTACCTGCTTCCATCAGTGGCTTTTTCTTCCCGGTAGCTATTTCCCCCCTACTTTAAATGACAGAGAGTGACCACTGTCCAGGAAACTGTTGCAGCGAACATTCACTGTTCAGCCTGTAAAGCAAATATCCTGATCACTAACCAAAGTGACACTGAGGCAGAAAAGTATTCAAGCATCAATATAAGCAAGGGTTCACATTCACATTTAGTCCTCGTCCCTAACACCAAAAGCAAGGCAGCAAACTGGTCATTACGCCTGTGGAGAAAATTGAAAAGCCTGACATTCATTATGATCTGTAATATCAAGCAGGTGGAAGGAATTTGAGTGGACAAAGGTTAGGCTGAGTTGTAAGAATGGAGATGGAGAGTGATGTTACTGCATGGGGTGGGGGTGGCAGGACTAATTTGCGGCATACCTGCCAAAAGATTGCTCTCCGCTGCACCAAGCTACCCTAAGACTGGATTAAACTCCAGAGCCAGTTTCATTAACTACTCACAATGAGTGTATGAACAAATACACACTTGGAGTGGCTTCAAAATAAGGGGGGCTGCTGCTCTAGAGAGCAGCTGTTATGCTATTATGTATATATGCACCTGTAAACCATTAACGCTGCTTCATCCAGGGTCAAATTTGGGACAATTTTGTCACTTGAATTCTACAAAATTCTGCACATATAACAGTTACAGCATAACAGCTGCTGCATGGTTCCAAGCAGCTGCTCTTCCTCCCCATTTGAAGCCATTCTAAGTGTGCCTTTGCCCATACCATTAACAACATGCACACATCTTTTTACTCCATTGCGCCTACACCTGATGAAAGATACTATTCAATATGCATAAGGGCAATAAACTACATGTAACAGATAGGATGGAGCATAATAAGATTAGAGATTTGGTGGGGAGGGTGTCTGCTATTACAAAGCAACAAAATGAAATTAAGAGAAAGATAAAAAGATACAAATAAAAATAGAAGAAAATAAAGCAAGGGAATATTAAGAAAGCCTTAAACTTGGGACCAAGTGTTAACTTTTTATCTTCAATTTGCAGCAAAACTAATAAAAATATGATTAACAGATAGTTCATCTTATGGAAATCATCTGAAAAATATTCGAGACAATCTTTCCAGAATGAATTATTTAATAAAATAAAAAATCTTCACAAGTTTATTAAAGTTTGATGTGATTTTGAATAAACTAGGTTACATAACTAAGAATTGTTGATTTCTGAGCAGAGACCACCAATATTAGAAAAAAAAATAAAATTAATGCTGGAAGTTTAATGGGTCAGACTTCTCTCACTAGAGAAGTTTTGCCTCCAAGTTAGAAAGCAAAATCAAAAAGCTATAAGCTATGCTTATGATCTCTTGCTAAATTTCTGGTGATCTCAGAAAGGCAGTCTGCAAATAAAAGTAGGCAGTATCTTATGCGAGTATATTTAATCATTTTTTCCCTTTTCTTCTAGTTTAGGCAAACCCAAGGCTCTCAACAGGACAATTAAGCTGAGAGGATAAAAAGCAACGCACTTGGCAGACCAGCGTAAGAAAGCAGAAGAAATCAATGGTCACTGAAAATAATGTTATACTTAGGCCCCTGGCAGATGTTTGAGGGGGAAAAAAAACTGGCATAATTGGAAATGGAGAAATGTTATGCTGAATTCCAAATACTATGCTGCCTGTCCTGCCAGACATACATAGCAGGAGGCACAATGTTTCAGATGGGATATGAAATACCTTTAATTTCCATCGTGCCATTGCTAAGCTGCCCGCAAGTCAAATCCTGCAGACAAAGCTTGAGGCAACTCTGTTCTGGACCCAGGCCTGCCCCAGCTCACCAGAGTTTCGAGACTCAGGGCTGGTTGGGACAGGTCCAACAATCAGCTCAACCCTAAAATTGCTGGGTCCAGTTTAAGACCAGGGCTGTTGAGGCTAGATCTGGCAATTAGCTGACCCCAAGTTGGCTCAAGATCCTGGAGGGTAGGTCTAACAAAGAGATGATACCCAATCACAGCAGTCCTGGGTGGGTTCCAGACTTGGGGGTGTTTGATCTGGCCTTGATAGTCCCAGGTGAGTTTGAGAGACAGGGATATTGGGGCCAGGTCTGACAATCAGCTGATCGTTGGACCCATCCCAGATAGAGTCTTGGACCCAGGGCTATCTGGGATGGGTCCAACGATCAGCTGATTGTCAGACCTGACCCTGACCAGTTTGAGACCCAGGGCTTTCAGGGCCAGGTCTGACAATCAGGTGATTGTTGGCCCAACCCCAAGACAACCAAGTTACACACATGGATTTTAGATGTCTCAAGACACTGGAAACCTAGGTTTGGACTGTCTCCCTCATCCAAGTGTCCCTGTGCCCTGGGATGTCTAAAAAGCTCAGGTTCAGCCCAGCTCCACACTACACAGCATTTTTAAGTGCCTTGCACTACAGGGGGTGTAGGGCAAGGCAGAAATGGCTGCCAGGTTCAGGAGTTGCTAAGTTCCAGCAGCTGAAGCCTCTCAATTCCCCTTGCCATGGAATCTTTCAACCTGATATTCTTTGGCATCAGCCTAGGACCCAATGCCGAGCCTCTCTCTATGCCAATGCACGGGGATGATATACATTCAATTTATGGCACCATGCAAGCAAGCTACAAAGATGTTCCAATTTGTGTGGAACAACTTTGTGGCCGGTTTACCTCTTTATGACACCATAAATTGGCTGAACATACAGCACTTTTATTATTTAGGTGCGATTAATGCGTTAATTGCAACAATAACTGCAACATGGGCCAGGGGCTTTAGTCTTCTATTTGAATTAAAATGCTTAGCAATAAAGGTTCATTGAAGAACTCTGAGGTCACATTGTAAGTGGAATTAATGTTCTAATTTCCTGTGCCCTCAGAAGTCTAATTATTAATCAAGTTCTGACAACATCTGGTTAAAGTCTCTCTACCACAGAGCTATTAGTCTAAATGGCACAGAATGAAAGTCAGGGAAAGTAGTAACTTGGTTTGACTACATAATGCATGCTGTGTAAACACCTGTAAAAATATTAAACCTCTAATTTTGGGAACTACTTATTATAAATATTAAAACAGAAGGAAGCCAGCCTTTTCTCAGCAAGATATGAGAAAGATTGTGAGGACATTCTGTGCAGAGAGAAAACATGAAAGGCACCAGGCAAAGAAAAGAAAACAGAAAGTGAGAACTCAGAAGCAGCATTCCTAAAATATAAGAGGGGACAGGACCAGAAAAACAGAAACAAGATCAAAGACAAATCCAAGCCTGCATTTTTGTACTTGACTCAGAATTTTAAAACCTGGGTACTAAAGCAAAGGCAGACTTCTCTATTGTGATTCATTTTTCAATGCTGAATACCAAAAGCTAGCATTAGAATTCTGTCAGCTGTAGTTTTCAATTTCCTGACCAACTCTACTTCAGTGTCACCATATTCAAATGCACCAGGAATTGAAATGGAGCATAAACATTTACTCCTCTTGCTAACTTTCTGGGATACTACTTTTTTTCCCCATTCCCTGTCTCCCCAACCTCATGTCAAAACTTACCATTTAGACATTTCTTCTCTTCAGATAAAGCAGAAGTAGATTCTACAAGAAAGTTAAAAAAGTCAACAGTTACTGAGTTAGGGAATAGTTGCCACAGTTAATGTGCAAATTCAGTTTGCCATAGTTTAATTCAACAAGTTGGACTAAAAAGAAAAACTACACAGTTGTGCAGAAGAAAAAACAAAGTTACAACAAGGCATTCTAACACTGATTAATTAGGGCAATGTTTTTCAAAGTTCAAAAATTAAACTGCATCCAACCATACTCTCTGCCCCTCACTCATCCACCCATGTTCAAAAGACGTGCAGGTTCTACGGCAGAGGCAGGCAATTGGTTGGGCATGCTGGCCACAAAGTCAGTTCTGGGAAACTGCTGCACTCCCCACTCCCTGTCCCCCTCCTCCCGCAACAGCCTGGTACCTGTGTGCCCTGCGGCTCCTCCCCACCATTGCCAACAGCACACAGCCCCAGCCCCAACCCTGGCCTGCCCCACGCCTGCTCTGGACTCGCCCCGGCCTGAGCGAACCAGCTGTAACCTACACGCACAGCCCTGACCCCGGCCTGCCCTGCCCCGTGCCACGCCAGCTCTGGACCACCTGCCCATGCTGAGCAGCAGCTGCAGCCGGCAGAAGCTGATGCTGGCTATGGGGGAAAAAGCGGCCCCTCCCCCTCACTGCTGCCGGGCCCTTCTTGCTGCAGCCACCCAGAGCCCATACACTGGCTGCCCTGCGGCTGCTCTCTACCGCCACCATGGCTGCCCAGCTAGGCAATGGTGGCAGTGCAGAGGAACCAGAGGGCAGCCCAGGCATGGGCTCCAGGTGGCTGCAGCAAAAAGAAACCAGCAGCATCAAAAGGTCAGGGCTGCTTTTCCCCCACGTCACGCAGCAGCTTTTGCCCGGCCACTGCTGCTGCTCAGCATGGGCAGGCAAGTCTGGAGCAGGCACGGGGCGGACCAGGGTCCTCGCCAGCGAACCAACGGCGGCAACAGGAGCTGCCACCCCCTGGGCTACCTAGAAAGGCAGTCCAGCTGTGGAGCTGCCCCAGCCCCACTGTGTGCCCACAGAGCAGTGGGACACACCACAAGCTGGACAATGCCTGGGCCAGCTGGGACTGAGGGACGCACCACAGGCCAGACAAAGTCCCTTCACAGGCTGTATTTTACCCACCCCTGTTCTACAGTCAAAGCTACAAGAGTTAGGAATTGCCAGAAATATTGTTGCCTTTGTACTGAATAAGGCAGAGGTCTTGGCGGGGACGGGAAATGTATGCAATAACATCATTAAAGATGGTATTGTAATACATAAATGCAAGACAGATTAAATAAGATTGCACAGATTCTAAACGTATCATTTTCTAGGCTTTTCAATGTGAACAAAAAAGGAGAAACTGTGTGATTCTAGGGCATCAACTGAGATCTATGCAGTTTATCAGCAGGCTGGAACATTTACATCCACCACTCTTATTTGTTAATTGAGCTGACAATAAAAGCAGGTTGGTAAGTAGCCCCACAATTTAGGTAGACCCCTATAGATATTATGTCCCTGTTCTTGCCCCATCTCTCCACTTAACCTCAGTTTTTTACACTCTTTACTAAGCCAGTCCTAGACTCCGTGCCTAAAAGGAAGGCTCTTCCAGTTCCGTGTTCTTGTGTCAAAAATTACTGCTTTGCAAAGCTACTCCAGTTGTGTTGTGTGGTGGAGAGATTTAACACACAGTACAGCAAATAGAGTGGAGTGCTTGTAGATAATTCCCACTGTAAGGGGATTTACCTCAACACTGAATATTGCTTTATTTTTAGAAGTTTAAATTTTGGTAAACAAAAAATGTTTTGGAAACATAAAACTATAAGTCAAGGTTGCCTAGTAGTAATAACCATTGCGTTACTGAATTCTTGCCAATTTACTAAGTAAAGAGAATAGCAAAGAATGACTATATGGTGGGGTGGGCAAAATATGGTCCACAGGCCAGATGCAGCCCGCCAGGCCATTCTATCCAGCCTGCAGGGTCCCTAACAAATTTAGAAAATTAATATTAATCTGACCTGGCTGCCTGTCATGTGGCCCTCGATAGCTTGCCAAAACTCAGTAAGTGGCCCTCTGTCTGAAATAATTGCCTGCCCCGATGTAAAACAAAGTAAACCTTCATTATAGAATCCTGCAGTTTCATTCCCCTGAAGGAAACTGCTCCCGATGAGAAAACTTATTTTGTACTAGCATTTTTAAATGAAAATATTGATAATTCTATTATCAGATATTGCCTTGACTGAAGGGCATTTATTATGGACCCTAATATTAAACTACTACAAATGATCTGATGGATTATGGAAAGCAGATCTGTTTAATTCTACTTGCATCAATTAACATTCAGCAAACTAAACTTCTTTTATTTCAAATTTTAAAGTAAAGCATTCTTTATCCTTTAAAAACAATTTAGCCATTTGCATGCAGCTGGCCACTCCAAAGCTTTATACTGCAGATATTAATATCAAGCTTTCAGTTCTTCATGAGAGATCAAGAATTTTACAGAGAAAAGCCAAACAAGCGCAGCGTTTTTTTCCCCTGCAACAACAATTAAATGACCATAGCTACTAGAAGCAAAATGCTAAGATAGAGTTGAGAAGATCTGTATATGCCCTTCTGACAAGCTGCAATTCTTTTTAGTCACAGCTGTCTCTCTTTACCTGCAGGGAAATGTAGATTGCAATGAATTCAAGAGATACTATCAATTTTGGTTTATTTTGCCTCCTGAAAAGGCTAATTTAAGTGGCTGCAACTCATCTGCCACAGCTTAAATCATTCTCTTGTGGATCTTTCGTGTGTTGATGCATTTGACTATAAAACTCTACCATGAGTGAAATTTGTGACAGCAACACTAAAATCCAATATCCCACTTTCTCCAAGTATGTGAATCAGATCTACAGTACAAGTTACAGGCCATATCATTTTAAGACGTAAGTGTAATTATAATTCGACAGAGATCTACAAGGCAAACTAAGAACTGAAAACAAAATATTTATTGATAAATATGTAAACTTATACTAAAAGATACCACTTAAAAACTAGAAAAGGTCATTTTTAGATATGAACCCTGTCCTGGTTTCCATCATAATTATGCCCAGTTCCAACCCAAGACAAGGGCCTGCTATGCAGAAATAACCGTTTCTGGCTTTTAATGAGAAAATGACTTACAAGACAGTATGAGTACAAGTAAGGACGTACCTAATTCATGGGGCCAATTTTAGAACTCCCTGCTGACTGGCTGCAAGGGTTGTCCATCATGCAGCCCCGCTCCTCTCCACCAGTTGGTGGAGAGGGGTGGGGCCACATGACAGGAAGCCCTTCCAGCCAATAAGCAGCGAGCAGGAGGAGTGACAACAATCTTGCCTGCAGCCCCTCTGTTCCTTAGCCTGCGGGGCTGCCACAGCATGCTGAGGACTGCTGGCTCCCTCTGAGCAGCCAGCATTTTCTCTTCCATAAGTTATTTTTCCCTCCACATATTTCTCAGGCATTGCCTGGATTTCACAAGCAATGCCAGATTTCGCAGAATCCACAAAATTGCAAATTTGGCAGGTCCCTAAATATAAGCGATTAAAACCTCTCAGAACATACATCAGCCTTTAATTTCTCTCTCTCCCAGTGACTGAAGGAAGCACCAATCAGTTTTGGGTTTCCATTTAGGAAAGAATTTGTGAAAGAAAGATCATTAGGTCAAACTTTTTCTCCATGAAAGGCCAACAAACCTCAAAGTTTGAAGAAGCCTGAAAAACACAGCTAGAAAAGTATTTATCTGAGTACTACAAGTAGTTCACATTATTCAAAGAGACAAGTAATAAGCAGAGAATATTCTTGAGGGTGTGACTGAGTGATGGACATAGTGAAATTTCAAAGAAACATTACCTTGTGGATATACAGTATGGAAAGCCACAGTTCAGTTTCACAGGGTTCTGAAGTTTGCAAGGGGAGCAATACAGTACAGCTGGCCAAGGCCTTATGATATGGAAAGTAAGAAGTCAACCCTATTGAGCTTCCTGCTTCCCAATAACTGACCAATTGGAAATAAATACAAAAGCATATTATGCACAAAAAGGCTATGTACATGCAATAGGTCCTTCTTCAGCCAGATGACTTTGGGAAAAATCAGATGTGCATAAGTAAGACTCCTGGTTCATGTTCATTTAATGGAGTGATGGGATTTGATCCCTTACCCCAACAGTCATGCCTCCTACCGTGCTACAAATGCATGGCCGGACACTATTTTGAGACTGGAGATCAGATCTCAATCATGTCATTACTACTTGCCAGCGCAGGGCAAGACTGGGATTATGGTACTGGGTTCCCCTGTACCAGCCAGTTGATAGCCAGATACCTGAAACCTGGCATGAACTGGCGTGGTCCCAGGGCTGTAGAGACTCCGATAAGATCTTCAGGCTAGGACCTCAGGCATTACAGGTCATTCAAGATTCTGGTGGGGTCCCAGGGCTTGGACCAACAATCAGCTGGTGGTCAGACCCAACTCTGGGACTGTTCTGGAGCTAGTCTGAGAGTCTGTTATGGTCCCAGGGCTGAGACCAACAATAATGGATTGTAGATCTCAGGCCCAGGACCGCACTGGAGCTAATCCCAGAGCCCCATGAACCAGGATGTCAAAAAATCTTATGTCCAGTCTACCTGTGCATGCAGTTTAAGGTCCTAGTGCACCAGAGCCTAGAACCTGAGAGAGGTTCCCTGATCCTGGGGTCCCTGCGTGCTGGGGATGTCAGAAAGGTCCTAGTGCATGGGGACCCCAGGTTCAAGGAACCCAATGTCACGGTCCCCATGGCTAGGATGTGTCAACTGCCTTGCTCCATAGTTCCCTGGAAGCAGCAGGGCAAAGCAGTGAATCTGCTGGGTCACAGGCAACTCCGCAGCTCCCCATAACCCAGCACCAGAATATACCTTGCTCCTCAGCCCCCACCAGAGCTGAGGAGAAAGGCAAATACCATACTGTGTCAGGGGGACCGCATACATGTCTGTACCATACAGCTGCCAATCTGCCAACTTCAAGGAAAGCTGTCAACCAAGCCCCACTGTGCACCCTGCATCAGGCTGCACACATTCAGTTTAAGGTGTGATGTAAAATAGCCACAAAATTACACATATTTTATGGAATATTTTTGTGGCTGGTTTCTCATGTTGTTGTGTCACCAATTTCCTATGGTGAGGTTACTATTTATGGCACAATTAACAGGTTAGTCATATTGTAAATGTAATGTCTGCCGGGGGCTTAAATCCACTCCTTTGCTTCAGAGTGCTATTTTACCTGGTACACTGATGATTTTAGGTGTCCTAAGGCTCTTAAATAACCTCATTTCTAAAGTATGGTTTTAAAGTGTTTCATTCCAATAAAACATACCTTTGGGGAGGGCAATAGGCTTGAGTGCCATTCTTCCAACAAGACACTCCTTCAACATAGACTCATAATTGACCCAGCGGTGAACCTGTATGAGAAGGGTTTTTTTTACATACTTATTTGTAATAAATTGCATTTGTGTAACTATATGTAATAAAATATACATTTTATAATATGTAAAAAAGTGCTTGAGGTCAAAATTTAGAGCACAAGAACCCGAGTTTTCTACTAAACACTACATTATGAGGCAAGAATTGAAGTTGGGTGGACTTTTGGGAAGGCCACAAGCTCAGCACATTGATAGGACGTCGGCTGCTGTGGTTCTCCTGCCATACCTGTGGCAGGGTTTTGGTTATGGTGCTGTGTTATGTATTGTGTCAGGGTTAGCAGCAGTTTTACAAAGAGTTTAGATTATGGATTTGCACAGGATAGTTTGGATAAGGATGATCCCGTTTCAGACAGGGGGCGACTAGATAACTTCTGAAGGTCCCTTCCTGCCCTCCTCCTCTATGATTCTGATGCCAAGCTCCTACAACAAACATCTCCACATGAAGGGATTTCCGCCTATGATCACAGCTTTGCATGCAAGAGCATTAACCTAAATACATGTTTTTAAAATCCAAATGAAAAGGCCATCGCATCATTTTACTTCACTTTTTTCATGCCAATAGTAAAATACCTTAACAAACAAATTTAAATAGCCACAGACAGATTTTAAACAAAACAAAAACAACAAAATCAGACGTCATGTGAAAGGCAAAGGTCTGCCTAAGCCTAATCGTCCATTAGTCTAATCTGATAAAGGCTAACCGCACACAAGGAATAACATGACTACCAACACATCCAGCTGCCTTTAACTCCCCAGCTGGAATGATCCATTGTGGTTAAAAGAGGTGAACCACTTTTCAAACTTGATGTATAAACAGGAGATAATTTCTAAGTTTGTTTTTAGAAATAAATATTCTTTAAATGTCATCTGCTGGCTCATATGGCTTTTGTACAGTGAAAGAACATACATCAGTAGTAGACGTTACAGTACTTTTCTGCGTTAGCATTTTCATTATGCGACACACAGGTGAAACACTCAGAAAAGCACTGAAATTCCTACTGCTTATTTCTCAGTACATGGAAGCCACAGAAGTCAAGACGAGATTTAAAGAATATTTATGTTTCTAAAAATAAACTTATTGAGTTAATTAAAAAAAATAATAAAAACAGCATCAGTTTTGGGAAGAGCTTCATCTAAACATGCACACACACTGTAAACCTTTTATTTAACTAAACACTTTTCAAGGCATCCAAGACAAAATGATACAAGCAATTGAAAGGTTTCCTAAAGATCTCAAACATTATCTTCTACTTTATTTCTGCTCTAAGAATCAAAAAGACAGGGTATATCAAGTGTATTCATGTATGAAAAAAAAGAAGTAACCTTTTTTAAAAATGGTGTTTACTGACAAAAGAGTATGTAAACTCATGTACAAAAATACACACAATACTTATAAGAAAACTAAACACATTTTCAAGAAGAGATGACTGAATTTAAATAAAGCCAAGAATGGCAGACTTGCTGACACCGTTTTTGTTTTTTTAAGCAAAGACAGCCCAAGTGTAAAATGCTAGATTACAGTATTAATCTTAACAACAGTAGTGCACATCAATGTAACAGCTACAAATATATTCATTTTCAGAGCATGGACCAAGTCATTTGTACTATGCAGTGGAATGCACCAAGAAACTGCAAAAATGAGCAATTATCAAAGTACCTTTTGACAAAGTAAATGTCATTCAGTCCCAGAGCTCTCTTACCTGATCAAAAAGATCTGTACCATCAGCTCCTGCTGCCTTCATTAGTTCACCTTCACCACCAGGGTGATACTCCATATACGGAGTGACATTATAGACAAGCCCTGCATCAAAGAATGGAAATATCAAAGAATGCTCAAATTAAAATGTGTGCACTCATTGACAAGGAAAACACCATTTTAATCTTAAAGTATTTCAATATTCTTTAGTTAGAGAAAATAATGGAGAAATACTTAAATATGCATCATACATGAAGGAATAACAAATGTTAGAAGTGAGTGCCAAATACTACACACTTTGATTTTTCAGTAATACAGAAATTATCAAAAAGAAAAGTGATACAAAGAAGCAGAATGGAAAAATTCATATGCAATTTGTACATGTAATGCAATAGCTATAATGTTTTATTAAACAGAGGAATGTCAAGCTACCTAGAGACCCCCCACCTTCAAAGACTTAAGCCAGGGGTGCTCAACCTCTGGCCTGCAAAGCCATGGCACCCACCCTGGGGGTGGTGGGGTGAAGACAGAGTTCCCCAAAGGTTGGGAAATTTAGTGGCAGAGGAACAGTGGCAAGTAATATTGCTACCCCTCCCCAACTGACAAATTCCAAAACCCTGCAAATGAGGTCAGGACCACAGCACGCCCCCAGTTGGGTACCACTGACTTAAGGCAATCAGTTACCTACTGAATTCCACTGGAATACTTGTGTTTAAGAGTTAACATTAAATTAAGTCAGGGTATCAAACATACAGCCCGTGAGCCTCTGTAGCCAGCCACGGTGCTACCAAAACTTGGGGGTGTGTGACCTGCTACAGAATATGGATCCCTTTGGCTCCACAGGCCACAGATATTGGCAGCAAGTTGGGGTCAGTGCGGTGCCCACCCCTAAACCTTCACTGCTGCCAGACCCCCATCCCTAGTCTTACTACCACCCCCAGACTTCTGGCAACACATAACCTCTTGCTGCCTTCAAACCTGTTGCTGCTATGCCAGCCACAACAGTTGCCCCCACATCCCAGGCCGGATCCAATGTGCAAAGAGCCCCATGGTCTGGATCCAGCCTTGGGGCTCCAAGTAAATTTGAAGCTTCTGATTAAAGACTCTAAAGCAGCAGTTCCCAACATCAAGTCACAACCCAAATGAGGGTTGTGGGAGCAATGCTGGCGGTGCTACACACAAAAGATGAGCTGCGCCCCATGCCGGGAGCTCCCCCACCCCTGCCCCCACTGCTGCACTCCGCTTCCAGCACCAAGTCGTGTAAAAAAAAGGTTGGGAACCGTTGCTGTCAAGATTTAAAATTGACTCAAATAATGACCCCCTATAGGCTTATCTTTTAGAACAATGGGCATCTTTACATGTGCTCCGGGGTGGGAGGAAAGGGGGACATTTTAATTAAAGCGGCTTTTGGGAGCTCGTTCAACAAATTTTAGTTAAAGTGCTGCCACTGCCATTTTGAAACACAGGGATGCTGAATACACGTGACACTGAGGCTGCTGCAGTGTGCTAATTAACACACTCCAGCAGACTTGATTAATTGAGTCTGCTCCAATGCATGCTAATTAGCACGTAACAGGCATCTGGCATGTGTCTAGGTGGCCCTATAATTACACAGGATTTTTTTCTAACCCACAAATACAAACCCATGCACTCTCAGGTTACATGTATCCTCTCTTCATTAAACAAGTTCTACTTTGATGCCCTTTGTTCCCTCTAAGAACAGCTTTCTTGGGTTCTCCTTCCACTGGCACTTTTTTTTTTTCATCTCGCCACAGCTGAACTATTACTGATGACTCTCCAAAACCCAGCCTTATTTAACCATTCTCTGCTATGTAGTCAGTGAAGTGAGGCTCTTGAGAAAAATAAACAGCCTCCAAACAAGTAACAGCTATCATAATCCATATGCAGACATAAGTTTGGTATATCCAGACTTACAATTACTTCAATTTGCAAGTTCAATATTATTTTAATAAAGAACTTATGTGATGTTTACTAGCCAAAATTTTAAAGAAATTAATCAAATGGATGTGCATTTATTTACTCTACAGCAATATAATCAGTCCTGCATAAGATGCATTCACTGAGGCAAGGGTCAGGGTTTCAGAGGAACCCATCTCTGACCCACCTTTTTCAGATTTAAAAAGTCTCACAACAGAGACCTAAAGATCCTACACGATGAACATGGGTGTGATACACAAAGCATTTTTAAATTCTCTTGACCTGAAACAGTTTTTCACCAGACAGTATTAAGAAATACAACTTCAACCGAGGGCTGATTTTCAGAGATCATGAACACCCAATACTGCTGGTCAATTAAATGACATACAGATGGGTCTCCGAAAGAGGGGGTGGGGAGAGGGGGAGGAAATCAATCCAGCAGTCCTCAATAAAAGTTAAGTTTCCAAGCACCCCTTTTTTGGCACCTGTGTTGTTCTTGTACAGGCCACACTGAAGGTTCCCTAATTTCTTTGTCCTCAAACTGAACAATACTATCTCAGATCTACGAATATTCACACCTGAAAGATTAAACTTTCCCAAACTTTCATCTCTCTTAAAGTGACTTTTTAGCAGAAAAGCACCTGTAGAATCTGTATATTTTGGCACATATTAAATTAAAATGATAGTTCAGAGCATAATCGATATATTAAAGCCCAGGACTGAAACAACAGACATAGATCTTACCCCCAAAGCTACCTATAACTAATTCAAATCATAGGCAAGTCACTTAACTTTTTTTTGCAGAACTCTGGAAAATAAGCATATGTATTTTACAAAAATGCCACATGAATAAGTTGCAATCTTTGGATGGAACAAGATATAAAAAAGTAGAAGTATTTAATACACATGCGCATGTTACTATTTCTATAAGAGGACAGTGATGCTGGCTAGAAGGCATCCACATGCTTGCAGGGCTGTCTTCCTTTCCTTTATCTGTGCATGTCTCTGAGCAGTTTCACCGAGAAGTGCTCAGTGGCTTCTCAGATAACTCTGAAGAGCAGTGGGTGCTGTCCCAAGCTCTATGCTCAGTGTCCTCCTCTGGCACCCTCGTTGTTAACTTCAACCTTCATTCCCATTCCTGTTAAGTCACCCATTGTTCCTCTGAACGGGACTTGTAGCCCCTGACAGGCCTAGACTTTCTGTCATGACACAACAAATAGGCCTGACTTCAATGAGACAGACCACTTCGGCATACAATAGTAGACTGCTTATTCTCATGGATGTGTTAGCTATGCCACCTTGTGTGCAGCAGTGATTATTACACGATGAAAAAATTACTCAGTTGAAATCCAAAGTGGTAGGACACCATAATTAGCCAGACACATAGGAACACAGGACTGGAAGGGACCATCTGGGCCATGAAGTCCAGCCTCTGTAACACCAACTTTAGATATAAGATTTGACAAGTCTCCCAAAGCAACATCTCCCACCCTTCCACCCCTGCCTCTTTGCTCCATCTTGTACGTCTCACCAGTTTCTGCCCAGTTTAAGTGCCAACTAAAACTATACCAAAGTCCACATTTCTTCACAAATCATTTACATAACAGTCTCACAACCTACACATATATACAATTCAAACTCCCAAACCTCTTTGTAACTATCCTGAATGGATACAAGTGTAGCAAAATTATTGGCCCTCTACCCCAATTTCCTTCAGGCATCACTACTGATGCAAGCTGAAATAAGTTACACCTGACACATCCTCCCTAGCAGCAACTCCTCCTCCAATTCTTGAAACTGTTAAAAGAAAAGTCAGCAGAAACAACACACAATTCATTGGAATATGCTTGTTCAATAACTTATTTCTATAAAAATGAATATCTTGAACAATACCTTGAAAAAAGGAAAAAACAGGCAGTGGGAGGGAGGACATCATCAGGACAATAAAAACGAAAGATCATACATCTGTTTTTTAATTGACTGAAAAAAGAACTTTTCTTCTCTTTGGGAAAGAGGGAAATATGAAACAGATCACCATGCTAACCACTATACAATGCTATTATTACAGCTCTGCAAGCACATACAAAACTAGCAATTGTGGAGTGGTAACTGTTCTAAAGTTTTGTTCCAGATTCACTTCTAAATGGTATTTTTGTCTCCATCAACCCCCATTATTCACAATGTAACCCAACTGCAGCCAGGAACTGCAATGAACTCCCCCAAATAGTTGAAGAAATTGCTACTGCCACGAAGCATTTTTCCTTCTTTTTGGAAAAGTGCAATGATGCTTTCACTCACTCCTACCAGAGGAAGCAAGAGATGTGGTACAATAAAGATGCTGATGTTCAATACATGCCTAAAGACTGAAGTTTACAAATAATTATTAGCAGTATGGTTTGAAAGGTGTACTTTATGGGTTTTTTCCCCAAAGTAGCAACGTATAAACAATCTAAAATTCTACTAAGGAAGGAATGTGCCTAATTCCACTCCATCCAGTGCAAGGTAAACTACATGTCTTCATAAGCACATGGAATTCTGCTACCCTTGGTTTTTGGTATACCTCCTCCAAGCAACTCAGATGCACAATGAAGATCAGCTCCTAAGGAAGCACAGCTTGGTACTGAAAGTGCCAAAACTAACTTCTACGATATGCAATTTGTAAGCAAGAGTTGACATGTGGAAGTTTAACATGCCTGCAACTCTGAAAATCTTCTATTGCAGAAAAACCTATAATGAATTATGGAGTAAGAGGAGAATAAAGGAAACCCCTGTAATGTGTGCAAGAAAAAACAGATTTCAGTGACAATTTGAATAACTCCACCTTCAACTTAAATGGGACTATGGCCATTTCTGCCAAAGGTGACATAAGTTTAAACTAGTAAACAATATCCGAACAATTGATTTACCAAGTTTGGAAAGAAAGAGTTGACGCAGACAAAAAAAAAGTATACAGACAGCCTACAAATGACTCACCTCTTATACAGATCCAGCAATCATCTGTTTTGTTATGTTTAGCAAGTTCTTCTTCAGTCACTTCAATTAATCTTCCTTTCAAACCAGTCAAGTCTTTTCCACTTTTAGTTAGTCGAATCCAATCCATAAGACTTCTGCCTGGTTTCAAAGGTACCTAAAAAGTAGCAGGTATACTAAATTTGGCTGTTGCTAGAGGAAGAGGTGTACATCTAAATGCAATTTTAAAAAAAACAATACCAGCAATCACTTGGGAGAGAGCAAAAACAATCTTGTTTGTTTTTCCTGCTGCTATTTAGAACTCTATGGACAGCAGTTAACCTGCTTAGGGAAGTTTCTTTCACGCCCGGGCTAAGTGGAATTCTCAACTCCCTCCACACCCTGAGCTTCCAGAAATGTACTCCACTACCTTCACCGTAGGAGTCTGCAGTGTCATCAGTGTCACTTCTCTGCTCACTGGGAGACATAGGAGCAGCTACAAAATGATAAGGCTGGCTATTCACAGAAAGGAGGCAATCAAGAATGTTAACGAGGGAGAATGTAAATGAGGGATTGTTTCTTTATTAGGAACAATCCTTCAAATTTACTGAACACGTAGTAGCTAAAGACATGAAAGGTACCTAGGCACAACTTGAGGTTCACAGATCTCCAACTTTAGTATTCACCTCTGCCTACTAGGTTTAGCTCTCTTGCCATATTTCAAATTCTTGGTTATAACACAAAGGATGTGAGCATATGAACACACAGAAGACAATGAGAGAGAAAGCCAGAACTAGAAAATGTCACACAGGAAATATTACATATTTAATGTTATGCAGGACCAGGTCTATCAGGGGTGTCACTCTCCCTTGGCCTGCTGGCCTGGATCTACACTGTGGGGACTCCTTGGGGGCCACATCTGGACCCATGTTCAGCAACAGGGTAAGCAATGTCAGGAAGCCTTGAGGGTTAACTTCTGCCCGGAGAATAAAGGAAACCTCTGTGAAGTGTGCAGTAAAAACAGATTGCAATGTTGATTTGAACAATTCCACACTCAAATGGGATTAAAGCCACTTATGCCAAAGGTAAAACTAGTCTACATTGTTAAACAATATCCAAACAGTTGTTTTACCAAGATTGGAAAGAAAGCTCTCACACAGACAAAAAAATATACTTAGGCACCACTTATGGTCCACAGGTCTCCATTTTCTGTAGTCACTTGTGCCTACCAGGTTTAGCTATCTTGCCATGTTTCCAATTCCTGGTTATAGCATAATGGATGTGAACATACAAATGCACAGAAGAGGAGAAAATGGAGAAAAAGACAGAAAGAGACAGCCGTTACTCACCAACAACATGTCCCAAACAGGGGTTCACACACCGTAATTCAGCCATGGACCCAGCCCCTCTGGGAGCATGCGAGCCAGATGCAGCATATTGGTCAGGTATCTTTTGACACCGCTCACTCAAATAAACTGAGACTTTTTTTCAAAAGTACTGAGAAAGTGCCCATTCTCGTTCAAGTGTTTGGCAGGGAGGGCCACAGTATACAAGGGCATGAAGGAAAAGAGTCAATTATTTTTTCCAACTGCAAGTGTAAAGTGAGGCCACTCACCTCCATAGGAGATGGACATTTCATCCCACTACATCAGGATGCTGCTTGTTTGCAGACACAGAAGCATGTGAAAGAGCAACAGTTCACTTGGTCTTGATTTTCAGTATGAATACAGACTGCAGAAGTGGGGTCTCATGATCCTTCTGACTTTTTGGGTTTTGAGCAGATGTCAGCAAAGTCACCAGAGGTGCAGCTGGCTTGTGGTGGCCAAAGTGTTCATAGTGATGTTACTTTTCGATCCTTCAGTGCTGGCTCCTCCTATCATCGGGAAGCAGAGCTGACCAAGTGTTGCACAGGGGACCCGTGAGCAGGGAACGAAAGCTAGGTTTACACCGTCCGTGAGACTAGTTTTACTCTCTCCTTTTTTTTTTTTAATTTTGTCTTAGACCAAATCAGCCAAATCTGTTCCAAATCCCCTGGATTGAGCAGAGCTCAAGCATTCAAGTCCATGTGGCGCTACCACCGGCAAGTCTCCTTCCTCCCCCACTCTTCAGCCTGGGGCTTCAGATACAGGCAGTCCTTCACTTACGTTTCGAGTTACAACCTTTTGCACTTACAACATTTCTAAACTGACACCCTATTTCGACTTTTTGACATTAGTTTCAATTTTGTTACGCTTGATCCAATGCAACACCACACCGGTGAACAAGTTCGCTGTGTCACCCGTCTCCCTGGAGAACATCTGTCCAAACTTCCTTGGACACTTTAAGAAACCAGACAAGACTCCAGAAAAACCTGCAGCCAAGACTCCAGTCAAGAACCCTTCAAAAAATTCAACTAACAGCCCTTCAAAAAGTCCAGCAAAGTCACCTCAAAGAAGTCCTTCCAAATCAGTATGTTTGCTATTTATAATATAAATACATTAATGTAGCTATATTACTCATCTATCATTGACTGAATACAAAATTCTGGGTTATTTTTGGTGAAAACAGGGTATTGGGCCTCGGTTCAGGAACCAATCCCCCATTTATAAAACATTGTTTCCTATGGGAAAATCAGTTCAGAGTTACAATGGCTCAACTTAAGGCACAGTTTTCGGGAAACAATTGTGTTGTTAGTCCAAAGGCAGCCTGTACTCCCAAGTCCATGACAGGCATCATACGTGCAAGCCCCAAACCCAGAGACCTTAGAATTCAGATGCGCCCTAGTCTCACTTGCCCGTAGCCAAAAGGCTGAAGGAGCAAGCTAGAGAGAGAGAGCCTGGGAGCAACCCTCCACCATCACAAGTCGTGTAGCGGAGATCCTCCCACCCAGAGGCTCTAGCAGACTCTTGCAGGGAAGGCTGCCTGCAGTGCAATGGGCAGCTTCACCTACTCCGGGAAAAAGGGGACCATCGATGTTTACAAACGGGTCCGACTAAAACCACCTGGACCAAAACCATCAGCACAGCTACCCCCCAGCCCCGCGCCGCGCCCCACCCCCGGGGGCTGGAGAGTGTCACGAACGTCCGGCCCGTGCCCCGCACCGCAGCCCCTCCCCCCATAGGCTCGGACCCGGGGGAGGAGCCCGCTGCCGGCCCCG